CAGATGTCTTGAAAATTCCAGGTGATGTTTAGGTAGAGAGGGTTGGTAGGATTGTGAGCAGTGTGACATGAAAGCTGGCACACTAGGCCCTCAATGGCACAGAAGTTGAGCTGTGCTGGGAACAAAGTGGGGGAATGAGAGGGCTCTGGGGGTACAGAATGGTGTGTGGTTGATTCAATACGAGACATAAACCCTCTTAGTTATTTCGTGTTCAAGTTTCACCATGTCCATTTCTCTGCTATGTCCATTCCTTTGCTCATAAACCTCGAGCAACTTCTCACTTAGAGTAAAAGTTTTCAAGGGTAGGGATTTTTGTGGGTTTTTAAAAATATTTTTATTAGTGAAACACCATGAGGTACAGTTGTAGACTTACAAATTTTTGTGCTTCGGTTTTGATGATACAATGATCAAATACCCATCCCTCCACCAGTGCCCATTTTCCACCACCATGGATCCCAGTATCCCTCCCACACCCATCCCCCCAATCCCACCCTGCCTCTGTGGCAGAGCATTCCCTTTTGTTCTCTCTCTCCTTTTGGGTGTTGTGGTCTGCAAAAGAGGCATTGAGTGGCAATCATGTTCAGTCCATAGTCTACTTTCAACATGCATCTCCCATCCTGGGAGTATCCTCCCAACACCCTTTATTTGGTGCTCCCTTCTCTATCTGAGCTGCCCTTTCCCCTAGAATGCCCGGCTGGCCTCTAGGCCATGGAGTAATCCTCCTGGTACTGATCTCGGCTATTCTTGGGTATTAATCTCCTATTTTGTTACTTTATGTCCCCCGGATGAATGCGATGTTTTTATGTCTTTCCCTCTCTTTCTGACTCATTTCGCTTAGCATGATACTTTCCATGTAGTACCACTTGTATGTAAATTTCATGACTTCATCTTTTCTAACAGCTACATAGTACTTCATTGTGTAGATGTACCAAAGTTTCTTTAACCAAGAGTAAGCTTAACTAAGGAAGTAAAGGACTTGTACAAAGAAAACTATAAAACACTACTCCAGGAAATAAAAGAGGACATGAGAAAAATGGAAAGATATCCCCTGCTCATGGGTCAGGAGAGTTAACATTGTCAAAATGGCAATGCTTCCCAAAGTATTGTACAAATTCAATGCAATCCCTATAAGGATACCCATGACATTCTTCAAAGAAATGGAGCTAACACTCCTGAAATTCATACGGAACAATAAGCCCCCACGAACAGCTAAAGCAATTCTTGGGAAAAAGAAAATGGAAGGAATCAACCTCCCCTAACTTCAAACTCTACTACAAAGCAGTAATAATTAAAACAGCATGGTACTGGAACAAAGGCAGAGCTGCAGATCAGTGGAACAGGGTTGAATACACTGACATCTCCCCTCAATCATATGCTCATCTAATCTTTGATAAAGGTGCAAGAAATGTGAAGTGGAGTAAGGAAAGCCTCTTTAACGATTTTTGTGTTTTTGATTTATAATTGCATCCATAGTATCTAGTACAGAGCCCAGTCAATAGTAGGTGCTCAACAGATTTTGGAATGAAATATTATTGATCACTAAAACAAAATCAGTCTGTGCCACAAAGTAAGAACTTTAGAAAAGTTTAACACACAATCCTAGGGCTAGGTGGCAGGGTATGGAGGAAAAGGGATGGGGAATGAATGTGCACAGCTTGGAACTTAATTTATGGAAGGCATTAAGAGAAGAGGAGAAGTTCAGGGAGTCTTGACTCCTTTGAGCTCTCCAGAATGTGGCTGGGAGAATAAATCTTTGAGTTTCCATTTTTCCAGTGAACTGTTTTAGAATTGTCTTCAATGAAGGAGGGAGGGAGAAAGAGAATAAACTCTGTTCCCATTTAGTAAGAAGTAAGTCATATTTTCTGATGCATTCCATTGACATTTGTCTCTTCGTGAGAAAATATATATTAAACATATTCATATAAGCTAATAGGATTCATGAGGTGGTGGGTGCTCATGCCACTGCTTGTATAATTGTTGCTAAACTCTGGATAGATTTAAACTGCTTTACACCAAAATCTGTGGGCTTCACCAGTTCATCAGTCTTGAGTAAGTGGATTGACATTTCTGTTTTTGCTTTCATCATCTTTCTCTGTAAGAATATCATAATTCTGGCATTTAATTTTTGTGGTGGACATTAAGGGATGAACGTGTCCCTCAAATTCATCCTTTGAATATCTAACCCCCAGCACAAGAATATGACTGCCTTTGGCAGCAGTGCAGTGGGAAATGCAGTGAAAATGGGGTACTTTGGGTAGGCTCCAGTTTAGTGGTTGGTGTCCTAATCAGAAGAGAACATGAACACAACAGAGCCTCTGCATCCATGTGTGGACACAGGAAAAAGGTGGCCATCTACAAGCCAAGGAAAGAGTTCTCAGCAGAATCCAAACCTCTGACATCTTGAACTGAACTTTAGTCTCTGCTGTTTAAGTCAGCCAGTGCGTGCAATATTGTTCTGGATGCCCCAGAAAGTGAATATAAATGAGATGGTTAAAAGTTAAGGTGCCCGCTAGCTTCCCACCAATCCTAGATCCCAGAAAGGAAAAGAATGCTTATTTTCTGGAAATAAATTTTGATTGTTGAGTGTAGGATACTAGAGAAGATGAACTATTTAAGACCTTTTCATGTCAAATCTAATAAGACTAACAAGATGTCTAGGAAATATCCTACTGAAGGAAGTAGCTATATTTAAGCCAGAGAAGGGAAGACTCAAAAGGGCCGAAAGCCATGTCCAAACAGAAGCGCTGGCTTAAAGAAGAGAAATTTGATTTAGTTATGTGGGTTCAAAGGGGTGAGCTGGAAGCAGTAGGCGAAAATTTCAGGGAGATTTCAGTTCAGTGTAAGGAAGGCTTTTCTAAGAGAGCTGTGGGCAAATAGAACAGGCTTGTTCAAAAAGACTTTCATGCGGTTCAGACAACATATTAGAAATATGAGAGAGGAGCAGAACCAACATTTCAGTGGGTAGGGTGCTTGCCTTGCTCGAGGCCAACCTGTGCTTGATCCCCACCATCCCATATGGTCTCCCAGAAGTAATTCTTGAGTGCAGAGCAAGGAATGAGTAACTCCTAAGCATTGCCGGTTGTGTCTCCCCATACCAGGAAGAAAGAAAGAAGGAAAGGAAGAAAGAGAGAAAGAGGAAGAGAGAGAAAAAAAGGAAAAAAGAAAGAAAGAAAGAGAGAAAGAGGAAGAGAGAGAAAAAAGGAAAAAAGAAAGAAACAAAGAGAGAAAGAAAGAAAGAAAGTTGAATAAAGGGCTGGTGTATGGATCAGATAAACCTGGATGTTTTTTCAATACTGATATTCTCTGTACAAATGAACTATAATTCAGCTAAAACTATAATTCAGCTAAAACAAATTTCAGTTTATTTTTATTTGTTTGATTAAACATGTGAATTATAGTCCAGAGGTAACAAAGTTTGGCTTATTTGATATGCCAAAAACTGTAACAACAAGTCTCACAATGGAAATGTTCCCTGTGCCCACTGGAGCAAATTGATGAACAATGGGAGAACAGTGCTAGGTAACAAAGTTACAATGAGGTTTAAAATGATGTCCAAAGTTACTGCATCTTCACCATGACCCTCCTCCAATTGTCTCTCAAATAACAGGTTTCAATATTACTTTGACATGTCTCTTGTGCTATTGCAAAAGTGTGTGTACAGTCAACAAAAGTATTGTTGACCTGTGTTAATAGGATGGCTTTTAGACTTTAGAAAATTTACTAAGGAAAAGAAATAAACTTTTACCAGTAGAGGTTAGTCACAGAACCTTGGAAACATGGGAGTCTGAGTAAGAAGGGAACCCTGAAGTACAGGCTCTCACAGGACTGATGGGAAAAATCCCAAAATTTCATTCCGTGTGAAGCTGTCCTCTCAACTTTCCCAAGTAAAGACACAATCAATAAAGATTCCGAACTTGATTTATCTGCTAAAAAAAAAAAGTTAATCTATCCACAAAGGATTTGTTAAAATTACTCACAGTGAGTTGACACAGTAAATGCTATAATTTCCCCACTGCCATCAGTATGTGAGATTTGGGGAAGACGATATAAGCAAGAGATGATTTGGTGGCAGTATCAAAAACATGGTTTTCATAGCCACAAATTGCTCTGGAATAACGGAGTGTCACTGGTTCTAAAGTGCCGCCTGGCTGGACCCCCTCATTAGCTCACACCCCTTAACTACCGAGGCTGCAGCATGGGCCTGGCCCTGGGAGCCAGACGCAGACAGGAAAGTCAGTCTTAGGGAGAACCACGTGGAACGGAATCCACTGCTGCTGGGCGAGCGGAACCGTCTTCAGTGCGGTCAGGGAGAGCAAAAAGCCTGCCCTCTTCTTGGGTTCTGACCCCCCAGTCCCTTGTCCAAAGCTTCTCTCTCTCTGCAGAGGCTACCATCTTCTCCCCCAAGCCCAGGAAAGCGCCCCCTGGGAGATTTTAGACTCGAGGGGCCCAGACATCTGCAAGACTGACAGAGACTGTCTCTTACATCTTGTCGCTGGGGGAAATTCTAGGACGCGCTGAGTTGGCCTGGACATTGTGTGTGCATGCAAGGAGGGGGGCGTTTTTGGGGGGGCGGCAATAAGAGACTTGAACAAGTGACAGTCCTCTTGCACCCCGCGCAAGACCCTCCGTTGCAAGTGAGGCCCCGAGGTCTGGGATCTAGCCTGGCTGGGCACTCTGGTCCCACGGTGTGCCGGGGGGGTGGGTGGGGGGGGCGGGGTGCACTAGAGGACGAGCCGAAGCCCCGGAGGAAAGCGGGCCACGCGCGCGACCCCGCCCGGGGGTGGGGGCAGGGGGTGGGCTGGGCCTGCGGGCCGCGTGCGTGCGCCTGGCTCCGGGACAGGTGCAGGCGCGCGGGCTTCCCATTGGTCGCGGCGGCGGCGCAGGCCCCTTCCCGCCTCGCCTTCCCCCGCCGCGGCTCGCGGGCTGGGTGGGCGGAGGCGCGTGTCCGCGCGCGCGCGTTCCCGGGGCCGCGCGTCGCCGCGCCCTGCCTCGCGCCCGCGCGCTCAGGTAGCGGGAGCGCGAGCGGCTGGGCCGGGGCGCGCGGCCGGGCTGCCGTCCTCCCGCACCCCGCCCCGCGCCCGTCCGCTCCGGGGAGCCTGGGGAGGGCGAGCGCGGGCGCCGCCGCCGCCGAGGCTTCCGTCTAGCTCGCTCGCGCAGCGGCGGCGGCAGAGGTCGCGCACAGATGCGGGTTGGAGCTGCGCGGGGAGGCGGCGGCGGCGGCGGCGGGCAGGAAGCTGCATGCATGAGCCCCACAGGTAAGACCCCCCCGCCCCGAGCCCGGCCGGGGGTGGAGCGGGGGGGGGGGGGGTGGGGGGGCAGCCCCGGCAGGCGCGCGCAAGGCCGAGGCGGGGGAGTTGGAGCTCGCTTCTGCTCCTCGAGACGGGTATTTTATTTTATTTTATTCATTTTGACATCGCAGACACATCTCGGGAGGGACTGGGCAGTAGGACCCATCCGGATCCCCGGGAAAACCCGAGAAGTAGCTGGGGGGCGGGGGGCGGAGGGCGTGGGGAGGAAGGGGGCTCCGGAGCCACCTCGAGAGATTTCCTAAGAGTGAAATGTCTAGGCCCCAGGAAAAAGTGTGTTTTTCCCAGTCCCGAGACACTGGAAGGCTCTGGACTTTGCCGTCTCGGTCACAGCCGCTGGATCCCGGGGACCGGCGCCAAGCCAGTGTGCGCTCCCCCTGCGCCCCCGCCCCGTCTCTCCCCTCCTCCATCCCTCCCGCTCAGCAGCATCCCGCGGCGGCCGTTACTCAGAGTACCCGGCGCTGGGGGCTGGGGAGGGGAGCTCGGCGTGGGAAAGGGGGCGGGGGCCGCGCGGGGGAGGAGCGGGCATGGAGCGGGGGCACCAAGGCTCGAGCGTGCCCCGCCACCCTCCAGCCCCCGGGCAGCCCGGCGTATTGTCGTGTTCGCTCCTGGTTGCAGACTCTTGCAAGCCGGATGCCCTCTGTGGATGAAAGATGTATCATGGAATGAACCCGAGCAATGGAGATGGGTTTCTAGAGCAGCAGCAGCCTCCGTCCCCCCAGAGACTCGTGGCCGTGATCCTCTGGTTTCAGCTGGCGCTGTGTTTCGGCCCTGCACAGCTCACGGGCGGTGAGTGACCCCCGCGGTGGCGCCCGGAGGGCAACGACCCCCCTATCCCCAACAGACACACACACCCCGGGGAGGGGTACAGGACAGTTTGGCCCACTCCTCCTGCAAGCTGGCTTCTGGGGACCCCAGAGCTCGAGGGGCCTCTGGATGCCTAACATCCCCCCCCCCCACCACCACCACCTTGGCCACATCCCAGGAGTTCCCAGAGAATTCCTCCTTGGAGCTGGCAGGGCATCACACACCCACATTCTGCTGGCAGCTCCCTGCCCACCCGCTGCCCTGCCTGTCTCCTCTGAAGGAAGAGACAAATCTAACCTGACCCTTTATTCTCACTTGGGCCGAGAGAGCAGAGAGGCTTAGGTGAGATGTGGTGTATTTGTGGTTACCTTGTGTTTGTGGGTTTTAAACCTTGTCTGTGCCCCGGCAGACTCAGGTCAGGTTTCAGCCTCTGAATCCAGGCAAGAAATTGTGAGGATCACCTCTGTGAATGCAAAGAGTCTGGAAACTGGGGAGACCTGCTGGCTTATTTGAAAGTTAACTTTTGCTTTTCTCTGGGAGGTGGTGTGCTCAGGCATTGGGGTAGGGAGGGGGATGCACGGGATTTCCTGCAGATGTGTTGCTGGACCATTGCTTGGCTTTTCAGAGTCTGCTTTACAGGCTAGGATCAAGTCAAGTGCTTTTTCTATTTTTATTTGGGTTGGGGGGCTTGGGCCACACCCAGAAATGTTTGGGTCTTACTCCTGACTCTGTGCACTCAGGAATCATTTCTGGAAGGCTTGGGGGACCACGGGGATTCCGGCAATTGAACCCGTGTGTAAGGCAAGCACTCTACTTGCTGTACTATATCTCTCAGTTCCTCAGCTTTTCTAGGAACTGCGGGCAATGAGAATACAATTGAGAATACAATTGATCATCTCCTCTGCCAACCAAAGGTGGTTAATCTGTAGCATGTTTGCTTCTGGGGGTGAGCTCTCCTTTGAGGAATTTTGAGGGAGATGGAGAGGTGGCTTGGATCTCAGTGCACATCTGTCTCCACTGTTCCATGCTGTCGGTTCTGGCTGTGCTTTTCCGATTTTCACAGAGAGCTTGCTGATGGGGCCCTAAGAAAGGACAGACCCTTGTGTTTGGAGCTCGGGTACTGCAGACAGAGAGATAATCATTGATAGAGTTGTGGGCCCTGATGGGCAGGAAATAAACCATGTTCTGTTTCTACCCAACATGGGCCATGTTGGATGAAGCATGGGTAAGAGGAGCGGGAGACTAGAAACCTTGCAGGAGGGAACTATGCATTGGCTTCAACCCAGAGCCCACCTAACTCAAGGCTTGTAGAGAGAGGCCTTAAAAATGCTCAGAGCATCAGGCATTTTCTGTGAGGTGTGTGAATTGGTGAGCAAAGCTCTTAGCTTTAGATGGGAACCTGGTTTGGGGTTTATTTCTTAACAAGGGCTCATGTATTTGGAGCTTTCGTTTATTTGTTTGTTTGGGGGCCACACTCACCAGCAGTGCTCAGGGCTTACTCCTACCTCTGTGCCCAGGAATCATTCCTGGCTGGACTCAGGGGGACCATATGGGGTTTGGGGGTTTGAACCTGGGTAGACCATGTGCAAAGCAAAAAGCCTTACCTGTTGTCCTACCTCTCCGGTTTTCCCAAAGGAGGTCAGTTAGGATGTGAGATCCACTTTGTGTGGCCATGAACATGATGGGAACTGGGGAGCAGGAATGGGGTGTGAGCTTGGCTCATGTCCTCTCCTCTTCTCTTGCTGCCACTTTCTAGTTCTTTCCTCCTGCTGTGATTTTCCATCCCAGTCCCTGGAGATCCCATTCTGGAGATGGCACAGCCATTGAGCCAGTTGGGGTTAGAAGGAGGTAGAGTGAAGGTTATGGAACCCCTTCCTCAAGAATCTCAGGGTGTAGTTTGCAGCTCAGTGCCCCCTCCCAGTGTCCTGTGGTTAGGCCCATCTTGAATCCCTCTCTTAGTTGGGGAGGAGATGCCAAGCAGAAGGATGTAGTGCCTTGAAGGAGGTTTGTGCCAAGGCCACCCGTCTTCTCTTTTTTTCAGCATTGACTATTGGTCTTCCAAGTTCTTTAGGCTCAGAGTGTGGCTCCTGGAAGAATATGTTTCATTTTCGAGTCCCTCCATGAAGAAAGAGGAGGAAGGGAGGTTCTGGGGAGTTGAGGCTTCAGAACCCTCTCGAGAGACTCCAGGTGGGGCTGGAGCAATAGCACAGTGGGTAGGGTGTTTGCCTCGCACGCAGCCCACCCGGTTTGATTCCCAGCATCCCATATGGTCCCCCGAGCACCACCAGGAGTAACTCCTGAGTGTGTGAGCCAGGAGTAACCCATGTGCATCGCTGGGTGTGACCCAAAGAGAAAAAAAATCCCATTTAGAGAGACTCCAGGAAGGTGATAAAGTTCATTCTAGATCTGTGCTTATAGAAACTCAGGGGGTGGGGGGGAAGGGGCTAAAAGGCAGATTCAGGTTCCTGTGGTTTGGGAGGGGCCCGAGATTTTACTCCCCATGAAGCTTGGAGGCACTGCATTTGTTCCTGGTTACAGGGACCACACATGGATGAGTAACGCTTCAGACCAACGCATTGGCTTTTTTTTTCTGCCCATGGACATACAGTGCCCCCAACTGGTAGAAGTCCACTGCCTTCCAAGGCATCACTTCCACCAGGTGGGTGCTCACCCCAGATTTTGTCTTCATTCCGAACCATCTGATACCAGTGGCCGGGGGAGGGGGGGGGTGGAGGGGTGGGGGGGAGCAGAAGTCTCAGCCTGCGCCTGATCTTTAGGGAAGACACAGCTGAAAATCACCCCACGGAGTGGGCTGCCTGTTTAGTGCTCACTGACAAAGAAGGGTGTGTGAGTCAGAGACCCTGCTCTGAAATGGGGGTGTTTGTTTGTGATTGCTTTCAGCAGGCAAGGAGCACTGCAATAGCAAAATATAGCGGTCTCTTCTAGGAGATGGGGGAAGCCTTCACCTAGTACCAGCATCCATAGAAAAAGCCTGAACCAAAGGACAAAAAAGATGCTCCTCAAAAGTCAGTGCAGTGGGAAATTAGCCCTTTTAACAGTGAATAAAAGGCCTAGCCCCAGAGGGATGCTCATCAAGCTTGAACTTTCGTGAGCCAGAGATGACTTTTAGGTGCTTTGCCAGGCTGACTTTTTAAGTCAGGGAAAGGGGCCTCCGTGGCCAAATACCAAGAGGACTAGCAAGTGGTCCTTCTGGTCCAAAAGCTGCATGGAGCAAGGCACCTGCCCATTCTCTCCCATCTTCCCATACCTTAGCTGAGTGCCCTGCAGGCTGGATGCTGAGCGCCAAGACCGTGGTGTCTGGTGCATTATTATGTCCCTGTGTTATGGGAAGCACAGGTGAGTTCTGCTACGTGATGCCATGGAGACCTTTGCCTTGGGAAGACAGTTCAATCTTCCACCAAACACTGATGCCAGTGTTGGTGGGGGCAGTAGGGAACAAGTCAGTGCAAGTGGATGGCGAATAGTGGGGACCCACCTAAGGCGGTGATACAGTAATCCCCCAGACCCTGGCTTCTGTCATGCAATAAATGTGTTGCTAGCCTATCATTCTGCCCACCACAGTTGTGTATATTGTCTTTTTTTTTACCTGTAAAACCCTTCCTTGCTCTCTATTTCTTGCCTAGTGAACAAATTTTCTTGTCAATACTCAAGTTAAAGGGCTGGAAAGATGGTGCAGGGGTTAAAGTGCATTTCTTGCCTCACTGTCAGATCCCCCCTTCAGCAGCAGTGCTAGGTATGGCCCCCTGGAGCCTCCTGTCCTTCACCAGGGTAATCCCCAGAAATGCATCCTATTGTATTGAACCAGTGGCTCTAAGGCAGAGACTCACGGGGAGGGGGAGGGGGGCATCCTCTTGAGCACTGCTTGGTAGTCCCTCCCTGCCCTAACCAAAAAATTAAAAAATAAAATAAGTCATAATGTTGGCCAGGGAGATGCACTTTTTCCCCAGTATCTGAAGATTCCCGGAGCTCTGCTGGGCATAGCCCTGATGATCCCTGAGCATTTGTAGACCTGGCACTTCTACATCACCAGGCCTGACCACACAACTGCCAGGCCAAGCATAACCAGGAATGTTCTTGGAACTGGGGGACATTCCCTCTGTCCCCCACCCCTGCCATGCCGTAATGTCCCTCACATCTTTCCTTGGTTATAAAGCTCTCCCTTGCCCAGGATACAACCCTCATTTGTCTTCTTCACTGGAATAAAGCCACTGAAGGCAGAACCTTGACTTGATTTATTTGGGGGCCCCACAGCCTCTTGCCACCCCGTGGATGAATTGCTCACATTGGTTGAGAAGAGATCCCCAAGTGACCACTGCACTGCCTAGAAAATACTCTCCACGGGTGCGTATTTCAGCACAGTGCAGGAGGTTCATGCAGCTGAGGGCATAGCAGTGTGGAGGAATTCTGGGGGGTTGTTGGGAAAATCAGAAGGGGCTCTGGATAAGAGGGGACATGGGGGCTGGTTGTAAGGGAGGGGGCAGTGGGCCACCTCTGGATGCTGGTGAGGGATGAAGCTTCTGTGCAGAGTGTGGAATGGTTCCATATTTGGATGCTCTAGGGAGCAGAGAATGGGCTGGTTAGTCTAGGACCTAGCAGAGCTGCAGGGAATCCGTAGGGCAAGGACAAGGTCCAGGTCAGTGGGCAAGCTCTGGTGCGGGTCCTTGGCTCTGCCAAGGAGGATTTTGGGTGTGAGACAGCAGGACCAGCTGAAGGACTTAGCAGCAGAACAGGATGTGGTCTGGGCACTGTGTCTCGGTCTCCGGCTGCTTCACTGTGCATGGCACTCACGTGGTGGCGTCTGGTCCCTGGGGCCAGGTGTGCTTTGCAGCGTGGATTCAGCTGTGCATCAGTGGGCAGTAATAGCCACGTTCCTATGGGCTCACGCTGATGTGGAAATGCCAGCCTCTTGGCATTTCACTGGCAGAGTCTAGACCTCTTAGGCAACGCCGTGTCTAAAAACC